GATCACAATAAGCAAACCAAATAATAGAATTGGAATATCCATTAACCCAATTAATTTTAAAACACAACTATTTAATTAATATTGCCCACATAAATAAAATTTTCCAACATTTTCCCACTTGGGCTATATTATTAATTTGATATATTTTTGAGAATAACTTTATTTTTAAAACGATTGTATCGGGTAAATGACTAAATTATTTTATGTGGCAATGATTTTGAAAAACAATGTTCCAATTCCAACATCTCAACACAATTCAATCCAACGTAACCTTGTCATAGGAACATAGCGGTCAATATACCGAAAATATCATAGCATATGACCTTCCATATTCACATACAATAAGTATTACATCTTCATGAATTATGGGCCTAATAGTGTAGTAAGAATTTGGTGCCAAAATATGATCAGCAATATAACACACTGATTCTTATCGGTCCTCAATATAATTTCTCAACAACATTAAATTACATTAATGCAATTTCTAACCAACATGAAATTATACTCCATAATGCAATTTCTAAACAATATGAAATTACTTTTTTAATTCAATTTCTTAACAATATGAAATTGAATTAACGCAATTTCCAAACGACATGAAATTGCTCAGGTTAAATAAATTTACTTGTCATAATACAACATGAGATCTCAAAAGTTATGACATCCAAATATCTTTAAGCTCACAGTATGCTTAAAGATACTATTTCATACATATATTTCTCAGTTGTCAGGAGAAATAACAATAATGATTAGCATTAATAAAATTTAAACAAAAGTCCCAAATATAATTGTCAGTTTGCATACAAAAGTGACTAGAAAAGCAAATTGAATATAACTCCACTGATCAAGGGAATTAAAAGAATCTAAAACTCATGTTCTATATATAAAGAAGGCTACTTCAAGATAAAAAAAACTCTTGTTTCGTTAACATCTGACTGAAAAATAAAATGTCATCTTCACAAAGTACTAAGAATATACATCTACTCCTACTTACTTACATATAGATGCATTGGTCAAATTTATTTAAAAATTAATTTACAGGAACTAACAAAAATTTACTGTTAAGGCAAAACAAATGCATCATAATAAACTATAGGGCAAAATACAGCTTTAATTAAGGCAAGTTATTATAACGAGACCAACAAAACAATACATTCCCCTTTGGGCAGAATGCATATACCAAGGTTTAAACCAAGGTCAGAGCCTCATATGAATCAATTAATGAGCATACACTGGCTTTAGAGATTTGTCCCTTTTGAGCAAATAGATCACCTAGACCAATGCACTCTCAATAACTCTATCTTCAACAAACCTCCAATTAAAACACACAATAACCCCCTTTGGATACGAAATTGTATTAAATAACTAGAGGCATTACTAAATCACAAAGAAATTTCCATGAATCAATACAAGCAATCACACTTTGATGGTATTCACCTGTAGTAATTCATAAAAGCTCTTGCACATCTTGCCCAAAATCATGATGCATTCCACAAGAAGGTGTAACACCTTTACTAATCATGAATTTAAATACATTAGCATTTTTTTTAAAAAAATTGCACTTAAACAGTTCAAGTGGAAGCATACAACTCAATAAATAAAAATATTCTATAAATTATACATCTCTATTCCTTATAATTTGACATAGTCAATAACTCAACAATGGCATGCTTGTTGTTTATGGCAAAAAAAATAATTGATTGATATACACAACGCAATAAGATTAAATTTGGGCAACAACAAAATAATTTATATATCAGAAACCCCCTTTGGGCAAGGAATATAATATACAAATATTTTCTAACAAATGAGGATTTGAATAACAAGGCGAATTACATACAATTATAAAAATTCATCCCCTTGGGCAGATAGATTTTTAAATTATACATATTTCTCTATAATACCACATCTAATTTAAAAATAATTTATCCCCTTTGGGTAGATATATACTTTTGAATTACGTAATCTCATCAATAATTTCTTCATGCAATTTTCCAAATTATTATATGTAACAACCCCCTTTGGGTAGGTAATTAACATATAATAATTCAAAATAATAGATCCACAACAATGTCCAATAACATGAAACATTTCACAACATGTATTTCTAACAATATGAAACACTTCACAACATGTGTTTCTAGAAATCATATTGGCTTGCATTTGTCAACCAATAAAATTTGCCATAAAAATTCAGCATTTAACATTAAAGTATAAGACAAAATACTTATTATGCTTAAGTAGGAGAAAATTATATATAATTGTCTAAAATTTATCTCCTTTGGGAAAATAAATTTTATAAATTATATATTTTCGTAATTCTAAAATAAAGGCATCACATGTAAGCAGTGGTAGACCCAAGAAATTGTATTTATGTTTGCACATTTAGTGTCAGGGGTTCGGAGACAGCCCCCCCGATTTTTTTTAAAAAAAAGCTCTTGCCATGCACAAGATCCATGGAAGGGTATATGGTAGATAGCCTTATCTTACATTTGCAAAAGATTAAATATAAGAATTGAAAATTTGACTTTTGGGTACATGACCACAACACCAACCATTAAGACAAGAGAAAGTAACAACTTAGTAAATCTAAACTAAGTTAACTATACTATTAACATATGGGTACCCAGTAGTGGTGACCACGGCTACATTTAGATGGTCTTTATCATATAGACAAAGAAACATAGTATAAGGAAAACCACGTCTATAAATAGAGAAAAATTTGAAAATCAAATAGCATATACTAATACAAGAAACTAGAATCAAATCAAAGGCAGTTCAATTGGTTTGTGAAGCACAGTCCAAAGAAAGTAGGTGGTTCAGACATTTTATCAAACAAGCGATAGGCAATTCACTAAATGTTATACCATAACAGATAACACAATGCTGTCTATAATCCAATCATTATTGAAAGCAAAAAATTTCTTTAAGAAACATGTCAAATTTGAGCAAAACAAGTTACAACAATCGATGAAAAATAGTAATAAAATAAATAAAATAAAAAGAGTAAAAGGAGGTGAATACTGTCATATCTTGATTAAGACAGAGTAAGGAACACATGGTTTAAGAATTAACTATCCTCACAGAAGCTGACCCACATGGTTCTTTGACTCCACTATTATTTCTTCTAATCTGATTTCCTAGACTGGAGTTTCTAATGAAATCACAAAGAACTACATATTTTAAAAATGCCTCCACAGTCGCACAAATATAAGCACAAGGATATTAATTTCAAGAATGTAGTAAAACATGTCTATTGTTCAAACATACAGGTTACAAGTAATTGAGAGACCGAACACATTTGGTTACTTATAAGTTGGCAACTCCAAAAGAAAAACGGATCAGTTTTTTAATAGAAAAAATAGTTACTTTTACAAGTTACTGTCTGCACTTGCCCACATAGGCAATAGTGCAGGTCCGCCATTGCATGTAAGAATTACAACTAATGTCACACCCTTTATATGATCTAAAGATTCTTAATATATAATTGAAATAATTAAGGGTATTGAGGCTAATCCCTAATTAAATAGATTATATGGATCACTTGACATTAATTAAATTCCAAACCCAAATTATTGCTCCAAACCATAGGAAATAATCTTAAATGTAAAAAATATTCAAAATATTCATATTAATATTACATGTATAAAGAAAACATAAAGTAACATATACAATCAAATCATAAGAATACATGACATAAAAGTTTGCTTAATTTAATTCACACGGTGCATAAATATTAACCTTCAGTTATGGGTTTAGAACCTGTTATACCCATTTATCATCCTATTGCCACATGCAATTAATGCTAAATTATATAGTAGCTTTACTCCTTTTTATTCAATAAAATGAACCAACAACACCTCCAAATAAAGTAAATATTAATTTTTATATGTTAAGCTATAATCAAGAACCTCAATTACTGCAAAATATGATTAATTGCATTTAATTAATTGTTAGTCACAAGTCACGATGCAATAGCCGGCAATCAATGAGCCTAAAAACATTGCAACAACATTTAACAATGAAGGTGAACTAGACATAAATGTGCCAATTAAATAAAATATGGAAGAACCATATAGCCAAATGAAATATGAAACCAATTTCACTAAATGCAAAATGTGAAAACCCACTAAAATGTCCCCAAAAGGACAAAGTTTATTAATTATGGGACCTACCCATGTGAACCTATTTCAAAAAAGTGTGCAAAACTCCAATTGATTTTCACTTATTTCACTAAAATCAAAACCAAAGGTCCAATAATTTAAAGGGCCAAATCAGATATGAAATTTAAATTACGAAAAATAACATGTCAGCCAAAACGAATATCGAAACTTTAATGATTAAAGCCCAACAACAATGCCAGTAATGTAATATCAAAAGAATATCACAAATAAGAGTAATTAGGCAAATAGAAAAAGGAAAAGCAATAAAGATTTGCGTATATAGTACCGTATAAAGGATGCCAATTTCTACCACAAAATCAGCATTTAAGATTATTCAAATATAAAATAATACGAAAGTCAAGGGCATGGCTTTAATACTTTAAGCTCACATATACAAAGCATTAGCAATTAATGCATGAGCGGCATAACTATACAAAGACAATAATAGTGTAACAATAATACGTTCACTAAAGTCATGGAAATCAGAAATTCAGTCAAAACATTAAACATGGAATTTCACAACTTAAACAGTACATAAATAGTACTAAGGTCCAAAAAAAATTAAATGTAGAGATCCAATCAAAATTTTCAACCCACATTGAAAAAATAAACCTAATCCAATAATAATCCACCGAAATAACTATAACAGTTCACAAATATATTAGAAATCTAGTTCTCAAATATCACGGAACCAAATGTGAAAAAACAAAAGTCTAAATGGATTTCAGAGTGACATGAAAATGAAGGTAATAGTGTTACTGCTTAAAACTTATTTTCATGGAAACCAAAATCCAATTCTAAAAACTAAAATTTCACGAAACTATAAATCTGTTACAGATACAACATTGGTTGGGCCAACTCATGATGCCATCAGCCTTGGAAGGCCCATTAGGAAGAAGGAAAGCCCAACATGGATGAAAGATTACAATTGTAGCTGAGTAGTAGATGAAATAGTTAAACTCATTAGCTTGTGATTGTATTGTAGCACACATGGAGTAGTTATAGGATGACATGTGGCATTGGTTGTTTGTCGGTTAGGAGCATTCGTGTAAAGCATTTGGGTACATATAGATACTGTTCTGTACATGCAAAGATCCATCTGAATAAAAACTTGAGTTACCTTTTTCTTAAAATCTCTCCTTCCTCTTCTTCTCTGATACAATTCGTATCATCTGGTGCTTTCATCTGAACTTCGTTATCACCATGCGGATTCAGGAAGTTGCCGACGAACTTCGTACCGAGTTCCAGGAAGGAATTCAATCTGTTCGTTCTGATTTGACTCAGAAACTTGATCAATTGACGGAATCGGTGCTTAGCCTCGATGTCCAATTACGAGAATTCATGAATCGAAACCCATCCTCTACTCCAACCAGTTCCAAACTCCATAGCTCTGTATGTGACGCAAATGGTTCCCAATTTCGTGTACCAGAAACACCGAAACAAAGAATATTGAAGTCAGTCAAGGTGGAGATTCCTCAATTCCATGGGTCTGACCCGAATAATTGGATTTTTAAAGCAGAAATGTTCTTCCAGATGCAGCAGGTTCCATTGCATATGACGGTGCAGCTTGCTGGGTTGAAGATGGAGGGCCAAGCTTCCCCATGGTTTCAATGGATGTTTAATACGGGTTCGATTCACTAATGGGACGATTTCATTCGAGCGTTGCGTCAACGTTTTGGTGCTTCGGCCTTTGTAGATCTCAAAGGTACTCTTTCCAATCTTTCCCAATCTGGTTCGTTAATGGAGTACATTAGGGATTTTGAAGCCCTGTTGAACCAAGTCCCTGGTTTCTCTGATGATGTTTTGATGAGTTTTTTAATCTCTGGCCTTCAACCGAACTTGAGGAGTGCGACTCAACTCCAATGGCCCACATCCTTACACCATGCCATGCAGCTTGCATATGCCATTGATACTCACCACGACCAATTGCGTTCTTCTCTGTCCTCTTACCCAAAGAAACCTGTCCTTACATCATCTACACCAACAACTATCCCTAAACCTAGTCCCAATCCTCCTTATACGCATACACCTAGTCCCAACATACCCAAACCTTTTACACCTCTTGCCTCAAATTTACCAATTAAAAAACTCTCTCCTGAAGAAATTGCAAGAAAAAGAGAACTTGGAATTTGCTATACTTGTGACGAAAAATGGACCTCAAAACATCGATGTAAGTCCAAAATTCTTTTGTTGATTGGTGAAATTGATGAAGACCAACAAGACACGGAAGAAGAAATTCTGTGGTCCCCTGAGTCCAAGGATGACAGTTTGGCAGCTACACTGCATTCCTTAGCAGGTTCTTTTAATCCTAGAGCCTTAATTTTTGAAACATGGCTCTGTGGACATAAGGAAAGTGTGCTAGTTGATTCTGGCAGCTCACACAATTTTATAAATCGTGAGTTAGCTCATCAACTGAATGTTCCTATGTTGCATTCGAAGGGAATGAAGGTCTTCATGGGAAATGGAGATTTTCTGTTCTGTGACAAAAAGTGCTGGAAGGTCACTTTACTTATCCAGAACCATTCATTTGTAGTTGATCTTTGGGTGCTGGAATTGCATGATTTGAGTATTATATTGGGTATGTCTTGGTTGGAAAGTTTAGGCCAAGTGACCCATGATTATGTTGAGCAATCCATGGAGTTTGTGAAGGATGGCCAGCGAATCAAATTGCAAGGTAATGTGGACTCAGATGATTTTTCCCCTATCAAGAGGGATAAGTTGAGCTCCTGTTGTGTCCTTTCATCCTCGGGTTCTGATATCAATGAGCAGTTGATTCTGCCTGAATTGGAGGCTCTCAAAGACACACTTTCTGCTGAGTTATGGGAGGTACTGTATAAGTACATGGCTATTTTCCAGACTCCTCAGTCATTACCTCCTTTTAGAGGTATGGATCACTCAATTCACTTGATGGAGGGAGCAAGACCTAAGAATGTCAAGCCTTATCGTTTTCCTCATCATCAAAAATCAGAATTGGAGAAACAAGTGACTGATTTGTTATCTGTTGGTTTTATCCAACCCAACAAGAGTGCTTTCTCCTCACATGTACTATTAGTCAAGAAATCAGATGGCTCATGGCGCATGTGCATAGATTACAGGGCCTTGAATGCAATAACTGTACCCGACAGGTTTCCTATACCAACAATAGATGAGTTGTTGGATGAACTACTTGGTGCTTCAGTCTTTAGCAAGTTGGATCTTAGAGCTGGATATCACCAGATCCGTATGCTTCCTCAAGACATACATAAGACTGCTTTTCGCACCCATGAGGGACATTATGAGTTCCTTGTCATGCCTTTTGGTTTGACAAATGCCCCGGCTACGTTTCAGGCAGCAATGAACCAGATTTTTCGCCCTTATTTGAGAAGATTTGTCATTGTTTTTTTTTATGACATTCTCATCTATAGCCCCTCTATGATTGATCATTTGTATCATTTAGAACTGACCTTCAATTGTTTATTGCAGCATAATTTTTTTGTTAAAATGAGTAAGTGTGCCTTTGGTGTTGCTGAAATTTCTTACTTAGGCCATATTGTGTGTGCTGAAGGCGTGAAGGCTGATCCAAAAAAAGTGGCTGCCATGGTAGATTGGCCTCAACCAACCACAATCAAACAAATGCGTGGATTTTTGGGTCTCACAAGCTACTACAGAAAATTTGTAAAGCAATATGCTGACATTGCTTCACCTTTGACTGAAATGTTGAAAGCTGACAAACTGATTTGGACACCAGCAGCAGTTGATTCATTTGCCAAGTTAAAGACTGCTATGAGCTCAACACCAATCTTGGGGCTGCCAGATTTCTCTTCCCCATTTATTGTCGAAACTGATGCATCTATTGTGGGCATAGGGGCTGTTCTGATTCAACACTCCAAACCAATCTCTTTTTTTAGCAAAAAGCTTGGGTTTCGTTTATCCAAAGCATCCACTTAAGTTCGTGAATTGTATGCCATCACTGAGGCAGTGAAGAAATGGAGACACTATCTCCTTGGAGCCCATTTCATAGTAAGAACTGATCACCAAAGCATTCGGGAGTTATTGTCTCAGACCATACAGACTCCAGAGCAGCATAGGTATGTCCATAAGCTTTTGGGATATTCATTTACTATTGAATACAAACCTGGCTCCTCCAACATTGTTGCTGATGCACTTTCAAGACAATTTGAGTCTGCTGAGGCTGGTTTTTCTTTATCATTAATGTCTGAGCCACAGTTTGGCATTCTGGATCGAATTAAATCAGAAAATTTTTCTGATTCGGACCTACTTGCTATACACCAGAAATTATCTACTGGTGTTTTAGTTGACCCTTTATTTTTGGTTAAAGATGATCCTTTATCATCGAGGCAGATTTTATTTGGGATCACAATCCAGTTTGAAAACAGAATTGATTGAGGAAGCTCATTCTACTCCTTTGGGTGGGCATGCGGGTTCTCTTTGCACCTTTCTGCGTCTCTCTGCTTCTTTTTATTGGCAACATATGAGAAGGGATGTAACTACTTTTGTCCAGCAATGTGTAACTTGCCAACAAGTTAAAACTTCAACTTCAGCACCATTGGGTTTACTTCAGCCCTTGCCTATCCCTGAAGCCATTTTTGAGGATCTTACATTGGATTTCATTACGGGGCTGCCTGTATCCAATGGTCATTCTGCAATTTTGGTGGTGGTAGACCGATTGTCAAAGTATGCTCATTTTATTGGTTTAGTCCAACCATTTACAGCAGCAATAGTGGCTCGAATTTTTTGTGATCATATAGTAAAATTACATGGTTTTCCTCGGTCTTTGAATTCTGACAGAGACACAATTTTTTTAAGTAAGTTTTGGCAGAAATTGTTCTCTTTGAGTGGTACTAAACTCAACACCAGTTCTAGTTATCACCCACAAACCGATGGGCAAACTGAGGTCACAAACCGTTACTTGGAGCAATATTTGAGGGCTTTTTGTGCTGAACAACAACATAAGTGGTATTCTTTCTTATGTTGGGCAGAGTTGCACTATAACTCGTCAGTTCATTCTTCCATTGGAATATCCCCATTCCAAGCGGTTTATGGCAGGTTAGCACCTTCAATTCCTCATTACCCGAGGGGCTTAGTTACTATTGAAGCTTTAGATACACTTCTTTCCCAAAGAAATGATATCTTAGCTAGTCTCAAAGAACACTTGCTGAGAGCCCAGAACAGAATGAAGAATCAAAGTGATAGGCACCGTCGAGATTTGGTTCTTGCTGAGGGTGATTTGGTTTTGGTTAAGTTACAACCTTATCGCCAACTTTCAGTGGTTCGAAGGTCACACCAGAAGCTTGCCAAGAGATACTATGGTCCTTTTACAGTCAAGAAGGTGATCAGTTCGGTTGCTTATCAGCTAGATCTTCCTGCCACATCCAAAATTCATCCCACCTTCCACATCTCTTGTTTGAAACCTTTTCGGGGTAACCCAGATGTTCCCTTCACTCCTCTACCTGCTATGAGTGTGGATAATAGGCCAGTTCAAATGCCTCTTGCCATTATAGCTTCTCGTACACAATCGGTTTCTGGCACTCCCGCTATTGTTCAGTATTTGGTTCAATGGACAAATATTGTTCCTGAAGATGCCACTTGGGAAACAGCTGCTGATTTGCGTTTGGCTTATCCAAGCATAGACCTTGAGGACAAGGTCTCTCAAGGGAAGGAGGTAGTTGTTACAGATACAACATTGGTTGGGCCAACTCATGATGCCATCAGCCTTGGAAGGCCCATTAGGAAGAAGGAAAGCCCAACATGGATGAAAGATTACAATTGTAGCTGAGTAGTAGATGAAATAGTTAAACTCATTAGCTTGTGATTGTATTGTAGCACACATGGAGTAGTTATAGGATGACATGTGGCATTGGTTGTTAGTCGGTTAGGAGCATTCGTGTAAAGCATTTGGGTACATATAGATACTGTTCTGTACATGCAAAGATCCATC